ATTTCTAAGTTTGTAAAGAAAAAATTAGCAAGAAAAAAAAAAGAACCTTTGAGATTAATCTAAAAATATTCCTAAAAAGAACATGGACATTTCAGAGTTTTAAAAGTTTAACATTTGCTAGAAAAATCTCTGAAATTTTGAGTTTAATTTTGGAAAATTTTAGAAAAAATGTGGAAACTTCTGGGCTCCAAAACTCGAAAAATGTTGAGTTTTCAAACTCAGAAAATGTCAAAAAGTTGAACATTTTCAACTTCTGGAACTCAAAAATGTCACATTTTTTTCTAGAGATTCTCTGAGATTAATTTTTCTTCTTTTTTGAGAAAATGTTCAATTTTTCAAATTCAGAAATTTCCAAGTTTCTTGGCAGAAATCAATTCATTTTTGTGTCTGTAATGTCTTTAATAAATCGTTGTATTTTCTTCTGAAAACGTCTATATTCGGTTCTCTCCACCTTCATGATTCGTTTCAAAGTTGTTCTTTGGACTTTGGCTGCTTTTCACTCATTTTCAGCTGTAAAAATTAACATTTCCTTGTTAATCCACTAAACTCTGAACCAGATTATTTCGACACATAGAGACTGAAGCTTAAGGGACAAACCTGTATCACATCTAACCTAATTAATTACATTTTCTTAATTTTTTTTCAATAAGTAAGTGAAAGTAAAAATTCTCTTTGAACTGATACTTTTTAGGTTTTATCAATGAGTTTCCATGTTGTCCCATGTTGAGTTAAGGAACAAACAGAAGAGATTGATGTGTTATTTTATCCTCGTTAAGGCTGACAACAAACTTAATGCTTTTAACCAGACTTTTTATTGCTTATAAATTATTTTAATAGCAATAAAACTGGCATTGGCTGACCCTCCAGAAGCTCTGTTTTTAATTTCTAGAGGGATGTTTACCTTTTTATACCTCTAAAAACTTCCAGGATGTTCCACTGGTCATGAGACAATGAGGAAAACCTCGGAGTAAAGGCATTTTCTAAAAGTGAAAGTGTTAAAAAAAAAGGACTAGATCTCCAATATCAGCTGAAAATCTGGCATATGATCAGTTTGAGGTGACACATTTCTCAGATTTGTTTGTGTTTCTGGGAGGTATCTGATAATTTTATAAGCTGTAAATATTTTTCAGGACTGAAACTCTAAATTTTATCAATTTTCTAATTTATTAAAATGTTATGCTCTGAAAATATATTTATTATAAATAAGACCTAAAAAAAATAACATTTTAAACTTGAATTTAGCGGAGTCCAAGTCAAAGAGGTTTAAAAGTTCTCAAATCAGACTCAAGTTGTTTAAATCTTATGATTTAATGCTGTGCTCTGCTAATGGCTGCCGCCAGAGGGCGCCCGCGGGTTTCAGTGTAATTAGCAGAGATTGGCAGCCCAATCAGCAGAGCTGATCTGCAGGTGGTGGCGGTCTGGACTCGGCTCGGTTCGGTTCGGCAGCTCTCAGTTAGGTTCAAAGACACCCTTCAGAGAAGAGATAAAGCGATGATTAAGCGGCTTGTCGACATTTTGAAAGGTCAGCGGAGATCGTGAACAGCAGAGGCGTTTTGGAAACAGCTGCAAAGATAGAAGGTAAGGCGAGATGCTCAACAACGCGCTGGTTTTCTCATGAAAGTTTCCCCCTTTGTTCCTCCCTGTGTTGATTTATTAAAGTGGGCAGACAGACAAGGAGTTGAATCAGTTCATGAACTTAGTGACCCATGCTGTGGAAAAGGGGGAAAAAAGTTTTTATGCAGAGTTTCAGCCGCTGGGTGGCGCTATGTTTGTTACTAAATTACTTCAGAGCAGCTAGAGTAGCAGCAGGGGGCGCCAGAGAGGCGCAAACTGGGAGGTTGAAGATGATTCATGAAGAAAGCAGCTTTGTTTGCAACACAGATTAAATTAAGTAGATTTTATTAAAACACAGTCAGTTAAGCAAAGTCTGTAAACCCTAAACAGTGAATATCTGGGTACATTAATGGTTTAATGATCAGTTTGAGTTTCTCTGGATGTTTGACCTCAGAGTGAGACATCAGCTTCCTTTCAGTTTCTGTGGATGTTGAGGCCTGGATTAAGAAAGTCTGGTGAAACTTTGGTCCTCAGGTGATTATTTTCAACATTTTGAATCAATTTAGTACTTTAAATGTTGGAATTGCCTCTTCTGCATTCCAGCAGGTTCTTCAGAGATCCGCTAGTGATCTATTTATTTGAATCAAGTTTGTTGAAGGGAAAAAGGCATAAAAAGGGAGATTAATCCCAGACATGTTTTAGAAAAAAAAAAAAACTTGGACATTTCTGAGCTTCAAAAGATTTTGATCTTGTTTGCATTTATTTCTGTTTATGTTGTAAATAAAAGTCCATACAGTAATCTGAATTGGCACTTAATTTCTTATTTTCCTTCTGGACTTTGTCCTTACCTATTGTATATGGAAATAAACTGATTTTTTTTTTAAATTAATCTCAGAAATTTTCTAGCAGAAAAAAAATGTTTCAAAAGTTGAAAATGTGCTACAAAAAATTCTGAAAAAATTTTATATAAAATTTCTAGAAAAAAAACCTTAAATTTCTCAGTTTCAAAAGTCAAGATCTTGCATTTTGAAACTCAGAAATAAAAAAAAAGTAGGAAATTCTTGAGATTACACTCAAAATTTTATTTTTTTATGGTGAAAATTTACTCCTTTTCCTTATCTACAATGCCATAATACTAATGCGAGGTGAAGATGATGATGATGATAAGGCATTTCTGTGCCTCTGGTTTGGTTATTACTGGGTTCTGACCCAAAGGCTGCTCGGTAAGCTCCACCTTCAGGAGGCGTTCGAAGGCTTATGGAAACCTGAAAAAGGGTCCAGTTATATTTTTACTGTTAATGGAAATGTTTTCTGAATTTTCCGTTAATTTTGCTGGTTCTGGTTAACTGTAATAACCTTGGTGATCAGATGTGTGCCGGGCTGAGAGTTTCCCCAGACGGAGACGATGAGGCACGCTGGAGGAAAAGTATATGGTTCCAGAAATCAGGCTGAATTCAAGGAGAAAAGGCTTCAGATGAGTCAGTGCATCTGAATGTGGGCAGTTTGTCACGAGAGTTTCCTCAGATTCCCACTGGAGAGCCGCTTCCTGTCGTCGGATCAGAGTCGATTCTGGCTGTTTGTTTGCATCTCTGACTCTATCAGCGATCTGAACCCCACCCTGCACGGTTTTATCATCATTTGCATTGGAAACTAAAGACACAAAGCAACATTTGTTTGATGTTGAGCCACTTTCTGGATTTCTGGATGACTAACATCCACGAGTGAAGAGCTGTGAAGGAGAAAAAGCAGCTGACTGGTCATAAATGTAGATTGTTTCTTGCGAACTGACTTGAGTTGTGAATATTTAACTTGTAATCTGAATGAATGCAGGCTGGGCCGGATTGAAAGAGGAACATTCGTTCGTTCTGCAGAGCTCGTTCCGCAGGTTTTAAACCGGATTGAAGTCGATCTGAACACGTTTTACTTTCCTTTCAAGGCTGAAATTCTTTTGCATCCCCTTTTACTTGGAAGAGAAGGAAGTCACTGAGAAACCCAACGGGTTTGTCTTTGGTTTCAGTTTTTCCTGCTTTCATTGTTTACCATGAAGAAAAGGTGGCAAACAGGAAGAGGATCCACAGCTAACATGGACGTCTAAGAGTCGGCTGGGTCGATTCTTTGGTTCAGAATAAGAACCACATCTCTGCTGTTGACCATTTGTTTTACTGTTCAGGACCAAAGTGAAGCAGTTGTTCATACAGTGATAATAAATCATGAAATCCTCCACTGTTTATTATTAAGGAACTTTTTAATGCGACTGGAACGAGTTCAGAAGAGGAATAGCAGGGGATCATTTCTAAAACTATAACACTAAGTAAACGCTAATATTAGGGACGCATCGATTTATCGGCACAGATTTTCTTCATTTAGGGAGAGATTATCGGTACTTAAATGTGAAGTTGATTTCATCTCTGTCTTAAAATCAGCTACTGTCCTCTTCTGCTCTGCAGTGGGAGGTTTGACTGTTGGCTTCGCCCACCAGGTCATGTCTGCATGTTTGCAGTTAATAGTTGCCCCACTGTTACAAACTCAGCGACTTTCTTGATATATTTAGCGACATTTCTGACTAAAGAAATTGGTATCGGCCAGAATCGGATTCGGCAGCTCAGACTTTTTAACGATCAGGGATCGATGTATCGCCATTTATTATCTTTAGAGCAAAAGGGGAACGATCTATCAACTCACAGCTTCAGTTATTACAGCTGGAAACGAGAAATCGGGATGAAATCTGTAGTGATGGACTCTGACCTGAACCTTCAGATCCAAATAAAGTCAGTTACAAAGTTGGCCTTCTATCACCTGTTGAGCATTTCCAGGATTAGATGACTAAAAAAACGAGATCTAGAGAAACTCATCCATGTTTATCTTTAGTCACTGATCCAGACTGCTGCTGCTGCTGGAATTCTGACTAAAACTGCCTGAATGTGCTGCACAAACAAACTTTAGAAGGTTTTGTTTGGTGAAAAATAAAGAAAAGATCTGAAGATTGGCAGATTTTTTTCTTAAGAAGCTCCTCTTGGCTGCCTGCCTGGTTTTCAGTGGAAGGTCTTGGTGTGGGCAGGAGGCAGCTCCTAACTGGGACGCGGCACTGGGCCGGGATACTCCCCATGCCCAAACAGAGCCGCCGTCTGGCCTCATTCGCACACTTTTCCATGGTGAGGAGGTAAATAACAACGGCTGTTTCTCTCTGCATCCCAACCTGATTGGACCTGTGACTCCATTAACTCCACCCCAGAGAAATAAATATAAGAGCGGGGTCAGTTTGTGTCAGATGTTTTAGACTTTCAGGGTGAATTATGGGATTTATTTAGCTGTTTTTAAGGATTATTTCCCTTCAGGTTTGGACTTTGGGTTATTTTCCTGCCAGATTTCAGCTCTGCCTGGTTGATTAGTTTTGTTTCAGAGAAGTTTCTCCTCCTAAAAAGCTGTTTTGTATTTTTTTTTCTTCAGCTGCAGGATTTTTCTGTTTTTTTTTTTTTTTTCCTGCGAGTTAAGGGATGTTTCTGCACATTTCCCTGTGCCTCCAGCTGCTCGGTTTCAGAGTCGCTGCGTTTTATTGACAGGCCGCTCAGTCCAGCCGCTGAGGTCAGCCTGATCGAAATGAGAAGGGAAGCGGTAGGAGGGAGCCGGAGCCGGATCCTGGCTCCTCCTCGCGGCCTCCCCTCCCCCGCCTCCTCTCCTGCTCCAGCAGTAGGTAGAGGCGCTGCGGCGCAGGCAGGCAGGCAGTTCAGGGCTTGAGCCAAAGGCGCACACAACACACCCACCAGAGCAGGACTTCAGCCGATCCTTCCCTCACCGCAGCAGAGCAACTTCCTCAAAGCCGTCCCGTTTTTCCCCTCCGCAGTCTGTAGGGAGGACTTTCTCACCGCCACGGTAAGATCCTCACGTGTTTCTGTGACTCGCTGTTCCGACGGGCTTCATTTGGACTCAGCTATTCCTGAAGCCTCGGATTGCGAGTTCGCTGCTGTGGGCGTGTTCGGGCTTTCCTCCCACATGGAGACTTTGTGACAGCGGCGCTGGGATGCATGGCGAAGTTTGGCGTTCCCGCCCACTCTCCTCTGGAGAATCAAACATTCACCAAATCTTTCCTTGTCCTCCACGATTATCGGTGGAGATAGCGGCGGATAAAAAACGCTTTATTACGGTTTATTGGCGGAGAGTCGGAGCCTCAAGGGTTTTACTTGTTTACTTTAATCTGTTTAACCTCGGGTACGATGGTGAACTAGGACCATTGTAGATGGAAAGAAAAATGAGTAGATTTATGCAAAAATTTTTTTGGGAAATTTCTGAGCTTGAAAAGTTGAAAATTTGCTAGAAAAAAAACTTTTGACTTTTGGAAACTCAAACTGGTTTTTTAAAATAGATTGATAAGTTTAAAAAAAAATCAAATGTTTTACTTTTCAAAATCAGAAACTTCCATTTTTTCTAAATAAATTGCAAATCATATGAACCTAATTGCAATTTTTGAGTGTTTTTTGGCATAAATCTTATTTCTTCTTCTGACTGAAGTGACACTGATAAGTTTTTGAATCTCTAACTCTGTTTAGACATTCAGAAACATGTTGAATCAGTTTCTCTTACTCGTTCTGAGTCCTGCTGCCCTTTTCTGGGCATCCTGCCGCTCTGTTTATCATATGACTCGGCGCTCAGATTGTTTTATATCTGGAGATGTTGCAAGTTTTGTGGAAAGAAAACGTTGGAGCAGAACGTTTTTTTTCTGGATCTCCGGAGAGGCGAAGCAATTAGGAGCTTTTTCTTTTTAATTCAAAAGTCTGGAAAGAAAAAGGAGGAGAGATGTTTTAATTTTGCGTTGCCTGTTTGTGTTTCACTGCAGAAACACAAAATCTGTGGGTTAGTTTTGTCTTATTTCATTTGTATTACTATATTTACACTAGAAATTACACTAAAATACTACACAGTTTCACCTTCATTTAATGTATTAGTTTATTTGATAAGAACAATGCATACAAACAGAAATGAGCATCTAACTGATGTTTATCTACAGTTAATCACTTCTGCAGTCCCTGGTTAAACATTTCTATATAATTTATATAAATTTCCTCAAATATCCAGTTGACATACTAAATATCTCTCGTCTTTGGTAACGAACCATTTCTTCCAGTTAGCAGCAGTAAAATAAAATGCAGCTAAAAGGCACAACATTATTAATAAACGGTTAAAAAATATATACAAAACATGGCAAAATGTTTGTGATTAAATGAGTCCAAAATGTGTGTTAAAATATATCTTAATGTAAATGCAGAACTGATTCTACAGTTACAGAAAGTAACTGAAAAAGGGGGCGGAGCTGATGGTTGCTATGGTAACCACTAACCATCAACAGCAGCGCTTGATACACCAGTAAAGGTCTGGAGAAACAACTTTTTGATTAAACAAAATAAATTCAGAGTAAATGAAGAGATTTTGACAAACTTCACATCTATAATGAAGTTAAAATAAAACCTTGTTTCATAAGAATTCAAACCGAACCGGAGTTCACTTCAGCCAGACCCAGACCGAGGTTGGTAGGTGGACCAGATCTCATCAGGATGTGATTGACGCCAAACAAACCGGACTTTCCAGACAAAAGGATTAAACGGAGCTGGTGTGAACTCACTATTGGACAATCCAGTTCTGACAATCCTCTGGTGGATAACTGTTTAACTGGTTACCTCACATTAACTCGCCTCTCCTTCCCTACAGCCAGCCCCCCACATCTGCACCTCTGACCATCACTCGCCATGGAAACCCCGAGCCAGAAACGCCGCAGCACCGTCTCCCCGGCCCGCATCACCCGGCTGCAGGAGAAGGAGGAGCTGTGCAACCTCAACGACCGGCTGGCCGTCTACATCGACAAGGTGCGCTCCCTGGAGTCTGAGAACGCCTCGCTGCGGCTGCGCATCTCCGAGTCGGAGTCGGAGGTCACACGCGACCTGTCCGGCATCAAGACGGCGTACGAGACGGAGCTGGCCGACGCCCGCAAAACGCTGGACATTGTGGCCAAGGAGCGGGCGCGGCTGCAGCTGGAGCTGGGCAAGATCCGGGAGGAGCACAAGGAGCTGAAAGCCAGGTAGGAGCGGTGGGTTCCAGACATCAACCAATTAATCAGTTGATCACATGATTAATCAAACTGAGAGCAATGATTTCCATCTGCATGCTTGTTTTTGATGATGCTGCCCTTTAATGTTATCAAAAAGCTGCCATTTAAAACAAAAAAAAACATTTGACACACAGAACAAAGCGGTTTGATAAAAAAATTTATTTTGCATTAGTGCTTACTGGCAATTATTGTCTGTTTTCTGTCCATTTGCAGGGTAATTTTGTTTACAGACTTCATGATCTGTTTATTTGTTTATATAGTTTTTATATTTATAATGTCTTCCAGTTCCAATATCAGATGTTCTTGGGAAATTAAATTTATTCTTCAGAAGATGCATTATTATTCCATTATTATATTAATTGCAAAATGCAATGACAGCATTATCGTTTATCACAATAATTTCAGTGACGGTTTATCATCCAGTAAAATGTGTTGTGACAAGCCCAGCAGGTTCCCAGTCCGACACCAGTCACTGATTATGTAACTCCAGATTGAGTTTAACTGACTGTAACGAAGCGGTTCTGCGCCGCGCTGCAGGGGGAGCTGAGAATCTTTGTTTCTTAAATATTTGCTTTGTGGTGCTGCACAAAGTGATTGATAAAAATTGGTGTTCAGAGCGACTGTTTTGATTTCAACGTGTTGTTTTGTGTTTCTTTCCATCTGTTGCTCATCAGCAAACGCAGCCCATCCCTCTGACGCTCGTTTCATCCTGTTTTTTTTTTCTGTTGAATTTGAATCTTTGTTCTTTATGAAAACAAATATCTTTGATTCAAAAAATATTGTACATATAGGAAAAGAGAAGTTTTCATCCACATGAACAGATCTGCCCTCGAGTTTTGTTTTAAACATGCCGAACCTATAGGGGGCAGTGTAGCGCAAAGCTGAAACTTACCTGGACCTGAGGTAAAAACGTTCTAGTTCAGAAGTTAGGATTTCAACATGGTGGCACGACCTTTGCTGTTTAATCCACAGTTCGCGCTCCATGCTGTTTGTTTTTAAGTAGATATGAGGCAAACTGCTGCTGCGCAAGTTACTCAACAGGTTGTTGCTAGGTAACCAAAGAGTGAGTAGGTTGCTAGGCAACCTAAGAGTGATGAGTTTATCCTACCAATCTTGCTAGCTGGCCATGAGAGGTTGAGCAGCTAAAGCCTTTCCTTTGCCTACATCTCCCAGAATGCTGTGTGGTTCTGGACCAGAAATCGTTTCCACATGTCTGAACCGGAAGTGATCTGCGCCATCTTGGTAGGTCAGTGCAGAGCAAAGTATAGATGAGCTATGGCTTCGAGTCCAACAAAAGAGTATTTTGGAAAATGTCGTACGAACCCTTTAACATGAATAATAAGATTCTGGTGACTGGCAGAGTCACCAGAATCTTACATACTTACTTGTAGGCTACGTTTGTCTTAGCTAGCACATAGAAGCAGCTAATTTTGCTAGCTTAGCCATAAGTACCACAGTATACATCACTGATATTTATCTTTATCTTAGTATTACGCAGACCTGGGTACTCAAATTGTAATGGAGTAACAGTTGTGTTTGTGTTGGTTAATGTAACAGTATAAGTACATTGGACTGTTTAATTTATTCTATACCAATGCATTGTGATCCAACGTTCTCTTGTTAGGAATGAGGTAGTTCTAAGCTTGTGGCTTGTTTATTGTCATAGCAACTATCATGACAGTTAGCTTCAGTCCCTATCAAGATGGCGGTCAGCTACAAAGTCACATGAGAGCTATGTATTGATACTGATTATCGTGACATGTTTTTAATGGCCAGCCCTCGGACTCAGTCTGAGTGTTTCTCTGCAACTTTGGATCCGGATCTTCATGAGTAAACCTGATTATTGCATTTTCACTACGAGGCTCTTTCTGTCTGCGGCTCACAGGAATGCTGTTGCAGGAATGCTGCAGGGAGCCAGACCTGATACAGTGACATTCCCGCTTGCTGAGTCTGTGTGAATCGTTGGCTAACAAGCCCAGTTACGTTCTCGGTGTCCCTCAGGCCTGGGCTGTGCTAGAGGGACACACCTCTGCACACAATGCCCCACCTTTCACTCCAACTGCCTTGTTGAGGCTCAGTTCCTGTCATCATGCAGGGATAAATGCAGCTTTTAAATCAAGCTTTTCAGTTGGCTTTGTATTTTCCATCAGAGTGGTTCTGGTTCTGATTTAAACCCAGCGTCTGAAACATTCCAGCAGCCAGATCTTTCCCTCCAGCGTGGAAAAACTGCTGCTGCAGAAAAACAAACGTCTCCTGTTCTCTTCAGGGGCTCAAACATTGTAAAGGAACTCGTTCAGGAAATTCTGATTAAGAAATGAATGTATGTCACAAAATAAGGCTCGACATTTGGCTGGGACTCGTGGTCTGAGACTCGAGTCCTAGTCTCTAATATTTTATCCAATATTATAGTGAAACGATGCTTGTATGTGTGCTACAGGCTGCAGCTGCTGCATGATGAGCCTGATTATTGGTCAGTGATTATTATGGGATGTTAACGGCTCATAACTTTGTTCATGTTAGCTTGTAGCTTCATCATAACAACATAAATGTTTCTCCAACTTAATGCAGTTAGCATCCAGGCCTTGGAGCTGATGTTTTATTTACCTTAGAGCAGCTGCAGCTTCATTTATGGTTTTATGTTGTGGTGTTTTGTATCTTTATAAGAAATGGAAGGTTGTGGATTTGTGATGCGGCTCCTGATTTAACAAAACAAAAATAACCTGAGCTTTATTGACTGTAGTGGGTTTTTTTCAGGTCAGAGAAAATGAAACTACTATAGGTTTCCTATTTGCACGCCCTCATAAATTCACAACATCTCATTTTTGGAGCATTTCCTCATTTTATAAATTTTTTAAACATGTCTGTGACATCTCTGTCTGTGAAAGCCGATCAGTGACGTTCTGGAGGTTTTCAGTCATTTCCTCTGTTTTGAGCCAGTAATTTGACATTTTTAAGCTTTTGCTGCAAATGGGTTGAGTTTAGCTGAGAGCATCACACTGTTTCTCTTCCTGCAGAGTTAAACCGCATAATTTAGACTCTCGACATCAAACCCTTTCAAAACTTTTTTCTAATTATGAAATGTTTCAGTTTCTGTTTCTGCTTTAGAAGATGCAGAGCAGCTAGAGGAGTTTATCGCTGAGCTCTCCACCAGTCCTGCAGGAAATGCATCTTTATGACGTTTCTTTGTCCTGCAGCGGCTGATCATTGTGTTGGGTTTTCATTGTATCCATGGTGACTTTGTCCTGAAGTCGGCCTGGATTTACGACACCGTAAATGGGTGGAAAAAAAGTAGATTTGTGCCTAAAAATGTACACTTTCAGATTAATCTCTGAAATTTTGTAGAAAAAATCTTTGCCAATTTTTTAGTTCAAAAAGTTGAAAACGTGAAGAAAATTTTATTTATTTTTTAGATTAATTTCAGAAATGTTCTAGAAAAATTTTGAAATTTAATTTCCAAGTTAATTCCAAGATTTTTTTTTTTTTTTTTTTTACAAAATTTCTGACTTTTCTTGCAAATTTACAACTTTGATCTCAGAGATTTACCATGCTCTTTCTGGAAAGTTTCTGAGATCTCAAAATTTGAGTTGTGAATTTTTTTTTTTTTCTGGAAATATTTTTGTGCTCCAAAAGTTTAAAAATGTCTGTCAAATTTTAGACTTTTTGAGCTCAGATTTTCCATTCTCTTTCTAGAAAATGTCAGATCTGAAAAATTTAAGGGTTTTTTTTTCTTGTAAATTTTTACCTTTGAGCTCAGAAAGAAATGTAGGTTTTTTCTTTTTCTTTTTTTTTTTCCCCCTGAAATCTTTGAGCGCAAATTGTCAAACGTGCATGTTTTTTTTTCTTGTTTGTTTTTTTTAAATTGAGACTAGTCTTCAAATTTCTGAGCATTTTTCCATGTTTTTTTTCTTTCTATAATATTTATGAGATGCATTGTTAAATTTCTGAGTTCTTTGGTGGAAATGTACTCTTCTTTCTGCCTAATAAGCCGTCGCATTAGCTGCTGCTGACTGATTAATCTCAGTGTTGAGAGAGCAGCGTTCAGCCTCTTGTGATTCTGCTCCTCGGCTCTGATGCTGTTTTCCAGAGGAAGCAGATCTTCTGACGCCTGTGTGGTGAAATGCCTCCCTCCTCTCTGCTGCTTTTAGCCGGCCTGTTTGGTGTTTGGTTGCCATGGCGCCATGACGCGGCGGTGACTCAGAGGATTTTTTGAGGCCTGTGGAATGGGCTGAGTGGTCTCGTGTGATGGGAAGTGACTAGACGGGCTTCCTGCTCGTTTCTGTCCTCGTTTTCCCTCTGAATGCGATGCAACAGGTGAAGCTCTAAGTCCGGTCCAGCTGAAGGGACACACCTGTTCAGCCTGAAGGCTGCGCTCACACATGCAGCTTTGTTTGGCTAACTGTAGCACATGTCACCTTCCCGCAGGGAGAACCTCAAGCTGCCTGCTCAGGATGCCAGACATTCATTCCCCCTGCAGCTCCGGCTGCTTTCATAAATGATTTAAAAACGGTTGGAAAGTGAAATATGCAGAAGCAAGTAGAGGATGGAGGCTGCAGCTCCTTCTGCTGGGTTCGGCTGGGAAACGTCTCAGAAAACCTCTGAAACATTTAACCCTGAGCTGTTTGCTAATTTATGGCTGAAAAAGTGATCAAACATTCTGAATATATTATTATTCATGACTATTGTGTTTCTGTCTTCAAGGAGTCACTTAAATAAACCTCAGGTATCACCTCTCAGCGCATCTGATGCTAGATGTTAGTGTGTACTGCATTAGTATGAAGCATTTACATTATTGATCTCATCAGACTCTCTGTCTACTCTAGGGAAAGTTTTCTCACCTCAGTATGCTGAATGCTTGAAGTTGCTCCCGTCTTCTGATTAATTACTAATAGACTGTTAAATTGACTTTTTTCTAGATTTACATCGTTATTCTCTCATCATAAACAAACCTGAAGTGTTGCCTTGATTCTTTCATCCATGTTTGAGAAATCCTTTAGTCGCTATGGAAA